ACTACAGACTGAACCTGCAGACTGAACCGCTTTCTCCCACAAGCTGTTAGAATGCTGAACTGCTGCTTAGGACATATACAGTACTGCACCCAAGACTGTGTGGCAATGTTTCAACCTTAGTTTTGATTATTTGTCATTCCTACACAGTCACTTTTACCAAACTGGTATTAACCACTGGTTGCTGCTTACAGCCAGTGAGAGACTATTTTACAGCTAGACGTCTTGGGCAGTGTGTGTGTTTGTGAGGTTGCTTAATTGACGTTTGTTTGTGTGTGTTTTTAAAGGTTCGTGTTGACCCTGAGGAAACACGCCTTTATTTTTCATGACTCTAAAGTTGTCTTGGAAAAAAAGGGAAAAAATAAATAAATAAAGTTGTCTTGGAAGGTTGTGACACTGTGTTCATGAAATCTGTATAAAGGTCTGAGACACAGTACTGAAAACAAGCTTTGCTGTAGTTCGACAGCTCAGCCACTTGATTGTGGTGTGTAATGAGACTTATTTTCACACAGTCATTTGGCGCTGTCACCAAGTGGCAACACTGTAACACAGCAGTTCATTTCCTGTGTATGTAAAGAATTTCAGTATATGTAACTGTAACTAATGTGTTCCTCCCTTTTCTCTCTCACTGTAGGCACTTCCTCTTTAAAACAGGCACCGGCACTACCCCCCTCTTCTCCACAGCTACTCCTGGCTACACTATGGCAACAGGCTCAGTGTACTCCCCTCCTACCAGGCCGTTACCTAGGAATACTCTATCCCGCTCAGCCTTCAAGTTCAAGAAATCCTCCAAGTACTGCTCATGGAGGTAAAATGAATTTTTCACCTTATTGTCCATCAGTAAGAAAGAGTACCTGCAAGCACACGCTTTGACTTTACTCAGAGTTTCAGGAGTTTGGGGAGATGCTGGCAAACAAGCTCAAGTTAGACCACTCCTGGGCCAATTTGGCTACCGGGGTATGTTCTTCAGATGAGTGGGAAAAACACACAGCACACTTTGCATCCTGTCTCTTTCAAGAACTTTCCCAGAGAGCACAGAGAGAGGCGGTTCTCCCAGATCCACACAACTGAAGTGATTTCTCTTTTGTCCTCATAGAGATCACATTTGATCAGTTTTTGGGACACTTGATAAATTAAATCAGTATATTTGTGTCGAGAAATAAATGCAAAATATGAAACTGTGTAAAGTGCATGACAGTCATTTTATTCACAGAAAGAGAGTTCATAGATATTTTGTTGTACTTGATAAGCATCAAATTTATCTTTTTATGCTTTGCTTTAGTAGAGTAGATGTTTATTTAAGTAGAATCAAAGAAAGTGGATCTATAAAACCATCAGCACGAGTGTGGAGCTCTCAGGTTCGAGGTAAACGATTGAAACAACTACAACAGGAGTGACAAGATATGCTGAGCAGAGAATTCATGAATGCTTTCATGTGTTGAGACTTTAAAGTAGAATCTAGAGAACAGCTGACTCTGCTATTTGTTTGCCTACCACAGATTTGTGGCTTATTGTAATGCCATGGTAGCTATTTTATATCCTTTAACTCTCCTTTTGCAAGTTCCACACAACCAGAAACACTCGGTGCAGGGCGAAACTCTGATCAGATGTTATTTTCCACAGACATAGAGATGCAGATATATTTTATCGGCAGTGTCCAATGATGCAGATGAAATGACCAATGTTAGGAAGTAGCATGAGGTATTTTGGGAGTGGTCACACAAGGCTTCAAGCTGGAGCTAACGTTTGTTTGCAAAAATAAATACAATCCCCAATAAGATGGTGGGATTGGTAATTAAAATAAATGAGTGCTTCCAAAATTACTCCAGAAAACTGTGACACGTGTTACAACCTTTGTTTCCTTTTTTCTCAGGTGTACAGCCCTCAGTGCAGTAGGTCTGTCTGTACTGCTGTCTGTCATGCTCTGTTACTGCATCGGTAAGCTAACACACACACACACACACACACACACACACACACACACACACACACACACACACACACACACACACACACAC